CCCAATACAGGCCCCTGCAGGACGCCACTCGTCACCAACCTCCATCTGGACATTGAGCTGTTGACCACTACCCTCTGGATGCGACCATCCAACCAATTCCTCACCCACCAGACAGTCCACCCATCAAATCCATACCTCTCCAGTTTAGAGAGAATGATGTCATGGGGGACCGTGTCAAAGGCCTTACAGAAGTCCAGATAGACGACATCTGTAGGCCTTCCCGTGTCCACTGATGTAGTCACTCCATCACAGAAGGCCACTAGGTTAGTCAGGCAGGACTTGCCCTTGAAACCATGCTTGCTGTCTCGAATCACCTCCCTGTCCTCCATGTGCCTTAGCATAGCTTCCAGGAGGATCTGTTCTATGATCTTCCCAGGCACAGAGGTGAGACTGACTGGCCTGTAGTTCCCCGGGTCTTCCTTTTTTCCCTTTTAAAAATGGGGGTTATGTTTCCCCTTTTCCAGTCAGTGGGAACTTCACTGGACTGCCACAACTTCTCAAATACGATGGATTTATGCACACTTTGAATGCAGTACTGATCACCCTCACCTGAAAATGTGTAGATTGAAACAGGAAAAGATATAGAGCAGGGCAAGTATGGAATGGTTTCCACCTGAGCTGAGTTTTCTGTGATAAATTCACAATGAGCATGAACAGACAGACTGTTCATTGTTTCTTCCCACACAAACAAAGTGATCAAATTAAAGAGAGCAGGAACCAGGAGCCATTTATTTCTAACCACAGAGCAGGAAATGTTCCTTTTAGCAGCTTCCTCCTTGCCAATAGATGCTGTCATGCAAGAGTCTTATATGAGGAGACTGGAAAAGTAGTTGGAAGAAAGGGATCCCTTTAGGGTTGCTAAGCTGACAAACACAACAAAGTTCATAAATATGTTTTCAAAAAGTTTGAATTTAGCAACGCTCAAGTCATTTTGATGAATGAAAACAGAGAGAGAGTCTTTATTAAGGCTGTCCTACGTTGATGGAACCTGTTACATGACCAGCTGAAATCAGGAAGGTTAGAAAGTTGGCATATTTGAAGAACGTTGCAGTAAGGTAAAATATTCACATGTTGGCAGTTACAGAGAAAGAAGTAATTAATATAAGAATGGAATCAGGATGATATAGTTCAGTGCTCTGTCATTGAGACCTCATCCACTATTATACTGGATGCCATTTAGTCTTTAGAAAGACTTTTTTTCTTTTTAGGTTTAATTCTGGAAGCTTGTAAATTCATTACATTTGCAAGGAACACTAAAATCTTGGATAAGATTATAAGCTATCTGTTAACCTTTAAGGAGAAGGAATTGTCACTTTTGGTCACATGGTCATACATTCTTGATGTGGGTTCTAATGTTGACTATAGAATGGATAAAGAGTATATGATACATTATAACTAATCAAATCAAAGGATGCATAACGCCACAAGCATTTCTCTCACTGACTTAACTTTTTATGTACTTTTTTACACTCTTATGTGGAATGTAATCTCTCCGAGGCAACTCAGCAAAACAATAGACTTGTCCACAGTTAAAACTCACAGGTCCCATATCAGCAGTAAGTATACAAATTTTGTTCATAACAGATTTGGTCTTCTCAGACGAGGGAATTTGATGGAAGAACAAATTCCCTGGCAGCTAAGACAGAGTCTGTTAACCTTTAGAATATACTGCAAGCCTTCCTCTTTGATAGAGCTTTCCCATCATGACATTTGTAATAACAACAATTTTTCAAAATTCTACTACCTAAACCCCTGCATCAGGAAGATTTCCACGTTAAAATAAAGAGAAGAAAAAGAGCAGAGATTCCTTGACTTTGTTATTGCTAATTTAATAGTTGGTGGACATGTTCAAAACAATGATATAATGCATGTCAAACTAATAACAGTTGATGGTACAAAGACTGCTATCAGGATAACTCATATGCTAAGTTATGGGGTAAACAACGTGATTCATGGATAATTTTTGAACCGTGAAAAAAATAAAATCGTCAAACCCATACACGGTATTAATAATTCACCTTACTATGGCAAGTCATTATTAGTAACTTGGTGGCATTGCTGTACCTATTTCCAGTAAGCGTAAGCAAGAAATACTAAACATACTCATGGAAGCTAAAAATAAAATAGAATTGTATATCCTATATATATTGCTGAAGTAAACTGCTTACTAAATATCTATTATTACATTATAACACATCATATGACAAACTGCCAGTTTGGCTTACATTACTGTACTTTTAAACAATAAACAAGAGTTGGCAGAGAGCTAGATAAGTGCTCATTTACTGCATTTTGTATAAATCTAAATAAATAAATGTATGGCAGGTTGTCCTAATCTAACTTCTCTTGGCTGATACTGGATTGCTCCTTTTTGCGCCATACATTTTTTGGCATATTTTCCAAGTCTAGACTTAAATGTCTGGAACAGGCAGAAACTGACTCTCATACTGATAATTTCTGCTTCATGTGCAAGGAAAAGAGTACAAGATCCTGACGTGAGCTGAAGGTGCAGTGAGAAGGGTCTATTCTGAATTATCTTTTATGTGGAAAGAATCTTGTAACTTTGCACTGGACACTGCAAAGTTGCAAGACTGGACATTGTTTAAACGGTACGTTAGAGTGGGGAACATGCCTTCTTCAGATTAAATTAATGTTGCAGTAAGTCACTTAAATACATCACTACACTCATTTGCCTGCAAGCTCTGATCAATGTAAAAGAAGTCACCTAACGTCACTTTGCATGCCAGTGTTGCATTCTTCCCTACAAAACACTACATTTTCTTGTGGTTTTTTTTTCCCCCATTATCGTTATATAACTAAGGTTTTCGGTTGTAGGAAAAGTGAATCAGGGTTATGGTAATATTTCAGATTTCACATTAGCCTTTTAGTTTCTTCAAGGCCTTGAGAAGTGATCAAATAACTGTGTTACTGCCTTCATCATGTCATTACTGAATATGAAAGACTGATCCATCCATTAGCACTTCTCAAATAACTAACCAAAGCATAACCTTAATTTTGACAGGAGAAATCAAATATTAATGTGTATAAGATAGAGAAATGCAACATGATCATTATTTTTGGGATTAGAGTCATTTGAATACTTATTTTATAAAAATTTACACTGTTAAATCTGCAAACCCCTTAAGAATGTAGAACTAAAAATCGAATTATGTTTATTATAATGAGCCTTATGTTTTGATACAGTACTTCATTTTGTAATTTAATTATTTTATTTATGCAAATAAAGCCCCAAATGCTATTGCACTCAAGAAGTTAAACACTTGACATTTTTAGTCCTTAAAATGCAACATTTTATGATGTCTAGATATGTTTATTAATTAGTGATTATTAACACCCAGTAAACAACATCATGTCTTGTAAAAACACAATCTTTCTTCACAGCGTGAGGCTGAAATCTATTATTCACTGATTCCATATGCTGAAATACACTCAAATGATCACAAATGACCTTAAGCATTAGATAAATGTAAATGAGGACCGGGTAGAAAATGTGCTTTTGATTGATATCTAAAAGACCAGGTTTGAAGTCTTGACAAGGGATGAAATCTGAAATCTCATACAAAGTAGATGGCAATTGGCAATCTACAAAATCTAGGCTTCTGGATGGACATACCACACAGCCTCTCCTCAGCAGGGATGAGTGTCTGAGGCTGCTCGCAAGAAGCGTTCAGCACATGGAACCTGAAAGACCATTCCTGGGGCCCGTGTGGCCTTTGTCTACTTGACAGGCACTTACTAGGATGCAGAGATATATCTCTAAGTTATATGCACGTACACCCTAATGAAGGCAGAATTTTTCTAACCCTAAGCGCTCACTTAAAAGAACTTCTCTACACAGAATGGCTACATAAGCGTAGGGATAAATGATGTGAATGATAGCCATTAAAATTGTATGGGTTTAACACTCTATGTTAATAAGCTTATTCTGCTGTAACAGCTTGCCTTTCTTAGCCCTTTTTCAACTTTACTTTTGTCACTTTGAGAAGGACTGAGAGCCCTTCCGGAATGAGAATCATCAAAAAAAAAAAAAAAGAAGATTTAGACACACAAGTAAGAGTGCACTATTTGCTCTTAGGTAGCCATCTCTAAGCACATTCTAATTCTTAACCCTGTATCACGAATACGAAGTACTTCAGAATTTACTTTTCAAATACTACAAGAGATGAACACACTTCAAGTTTTCAGCTGCTTCCAGTCCCTACTCTACCTGGAGATGCCTCAATGAAATAGACAGTTAAAGAGCTAACCTCAGTGGCACCACTCCAGCGGCTCTGGAGACGATCTGAAACCAAATTGTCTGAACCTCTACAACGCGCACCCTCCAGAGCACGCTTTCAGGGCTAACTCAGAGACAACAGAGCTGGTGCACTGTGAGAAAAATGCTGGGTGCGCCCTGCGCCTTAGGACATAGTCAATGAGAGAAGAGCCCCAGCACGCTGTGCCTGGCTCCCATGCTCCCCATCTGTCCTTGCAGCAACAACGCGATACTGATTGCACAGACAGGATGACCAAAAAACTTCCCATGGATGCTCCGACAACATCTACCTCAGGGGCAAATGCAATTTGTTGCCACCCTGAATTCTCAGAGCTATTTAAAATGAAACTTGCCAGTGATTTAGGTACATTCATTCCAAGCCTCACATTCAGTACAATGGGTAACGTTGACTCCGAAGCAGACACATTTCAACCATGCACTAAACCACGGCTTGAAGAAACATAGTGTATGTTAAAAAAAAAAAAAAAGGAAAGAGAGGTTATGTCACCAAGTTTAATCATACTGTATTTGCTATGTTAAAAAGCAATTACTTTTTTTTTTCCCAATACTTTGTCTTGCATCACTTACCTACTGATATTGTATATACATCTGTGTCAGCATCAGTAATATAGGTCACACTGTCACACTTTTGCATACATTTCACATTTACATTAAATATACAATTACATGCAAGAATCAGTAAAACAGCTTAGTAGAATCTTACCAGCTTGACACCTTCTGCGCCTTAAATACTCCTGCATTTTGGTTTCTTGTGATGATCTCACTTACATCTGTAGCGTATTTGTTAAGAATTATCTATAAAACTAGAGCAGTAATAAAAATAATAAAAAATACTTTTTTCCATTGTTAATACCTTCATAATGTCTTTTATCCTTTGGTCTTCTTTAATCTGTGCTAACAGTCAGTCTTTTCAGAAGCATAAATTTTACATTGCTACTCCAGCACATCAGCCATACATCTATGCAGCAACTTGCACTTGTTGCCTGTCTCTATTGACAGGCTCACTAGATCACAGAGCTGAGGTTTTGGAGGCTTATGGGTTTTGAGTTTCTGCCCTGCCACAAGACACGTACCTCTGTTCCTGGCTCTGTCTGGGTGAAATCCAACACACAAGGGGAGCACCTTAACCTGTCGGCAAGGGAGTTTCTAGTCCATTTGCTCTCTTGAGAATGGTTTGGAACCACCATAAAAGAGAGTACAAAGCAATAAATGCCTTTTCTTCCCCGTAGGCACTGCAACAACGCCTCAGCCTCCTGTCTCAATGCCTCAGCCTCATGTCTCAGCTTCTTTCAGTTTGGAAGATCAGGTCACAAAATTGGGTAGCCATTCAGGCAAGCCAAAGCAAAGGCTGTCAATGAAAAGTTTCAAGGGAAGCTGTGCCCAGTCATCTATGCCTAGAAAGATAACCTTCATAATCAATCATTTGTGGTTAGTGAGAAGCCATAGGAAGGAAAAGGTGTAGCAATTAACCAAGGAACTATGAGAATACTAAATGGCACCCAGTGTGAATCCATACATATTGGAGCGATTCACTCTCAAATTTAAAGATTATTTTAAAGAGACAATTTTGATAAAGACGTCAATGATCACTCTTTCTTATTTAAGGTACAGAAAATCTGATGCTAATTAGGAGGATGTTTCTAGGTGCACAAAATATGTTGAATTCTTCTTTGCAAGTGCTCTTATAAGAAAATTGAACACAGTGTCAGGCTAATTTAAAATATCACTAATGTATCTTTTTATTTGCTTTGCTGAAATCACATAATTGTCCTTCCAACACAGTTGACTATTTAAGAAAAGTCATTTTAGGAAAGCCTCTATTCAAACAATGAGAAAGAAAAGACAACTGGTATTTTGTGATGCCAAAAACTAGAAATGGAATGACAGAAAACTGGTTTAAACAAATCTGTGTAGTTTGGACACGCCTTTTAAATCTTTTCCGCAATATGCAGTGAGAAATAGTAATGAACAGTCCATGCCTGTGAAGGAAAAGGAAGGCATAAATAATTCCATGAGCAAAGTATGCTGTTTTGAAGTAGAGGCAGAAGTAACATTGTTATAAATTAGCTACACTGCACTTAAATTATATAACTGAGCAAAACTATTAATAATTGTTGTAAACATGTTAACACTAGCTTTTTTAAATAATTTATATGCCCATGTCTTCAGGCATTCAGGCTGAACATGACCTTTCTAACCTAAATATCCCAGGACTGTTGAAAGATCCATATGCTATATTTTAATGGCCATTATAGTGCACTGCAACAATGTTTTGTATTATTGATGCTTTCAGACAGTAGTTCAAGTCACTACTGCATGGTGTGAAAGAGAGCTAAGGCAGAAGGTACACAGCCTCTCTGAAATAGGAGACAATTTTTACTAAAAATTAATCTCATCCTTGGATTCGGACATGTCGAAATGAGTATAGATGCTTCCAGTGTTCTGGGGAAACAGAATTTGATGTTCATGACTGACTATGTCATAGATATTACCTAAGTTGGAAAATTTGTATCTGAATGCATATCACCCAAAATTACAAAGGGGGATGAATCTGATAACTTTGCCTATGTATATCTTTATTATTCACTTGAAATATCGGTATTTTTCTTTTTAATACTTTGTTTAAATGATCCTGAAAGAACTTAGATAAAACACACTAAATCAACAATAAAGTTTTGAACAAAGCTGCAAAAGTAGTTACATCTGTCTTTATTTTACTGATTTTGCAACATAACTTATCTGTTAATAAATTAAAATCTGCCCATGATAAGCAAAAGGAGCGACTTGGAATGAAGTCTTTTAAATGGACTAGTAACTCGATTCATAAAATCCTTTTAAAAACCTCCACAAACCTCATGCATAAGACCATTGATTAATATAAAATATAGCTATATGTTTCACAGTGAAATGGTTAAAATGACAATGATTTGAAATTAACATATTCATAAATTGTTTTAACTTGTAACATTTCAGTAACATATCCTAATATAGATATTGAAAACATAGATAGTGAATACTTCATGTGGCAGTATGAAATGGAGACTAATATGAAGAATGTCAAAAATTAAAAGAAAAATCAATCCTCAAAAGCTTGAGACTTCACAAAGCAAAGCTGTTAGTTACGCTCACTGAATAGCGATAACAACAACAAAACCAACAATAATTATGATGATGATGATAATACAAAGGCAGATTCTCAGATGCAATGCACTATAGCCAGGTCGATTTTCAATTACATTTCCCTGATGTATTCATTTGTTTCTTAATGTGCTCATCTTGCCCATTAAGAATAATTAGCAGGCTTGCTTGGCGATTTCCTGGCTTCTGACAGTGATTTTTTTTTTCTTTTTTGTTGACAACCACTTTTACTTTTTGGAATGTAATTTTTGGATATTATAGTATGACTGGCATGTAATTTAAGCTTCCTAAGAAATTTAAAGGGAAGATGTAAACAGTAATTTTTAAACAAGATTATTTTAATCTGTAATACCTACATAAAAAGCATAATACTAGGCATTAACTACTCCTGAAGAGCAGAATCTAGAAAAGAAAACAGTATTTTATCCCCCATTAATTTAATTTGGTATGCTAAACAATCAAAAAATACCATCAGCAATAATAAAAATTAGCAGAAATACATCATTTGTAATCTGTGGCACTTGGGGCCAGCTACTATTTCCAATTACACTAAACATTCTTACTGATTTCAGTGAATCTGGTGTGGCTGAAACAGATCTAAATTTAGCCTAAACTTCTGTTATAGCTAGTCACATAGAAAAGAATGCAAAAGAAGATTACCATAAGACAGATCATAAAATTATTGCTGAAGTCCATAAAACACATAAAATGCAACATAAATTTTATTATGTGCATTTTTAAGAATACATTCCACCTACACTGTAAAGTTCTTAGTCTGCTGCACTTTGGCACCCTGCTAATATTAAGCCCATTGTAAAATCCAACACAATAAAAGCACTTTGAATGCTGAGCCTTCAGAGCACCAAATGTTAAAAAAGAAAAATAAATTCCTGTTAGAGCCTTCCACCAATCGCTTCTCTGAAAGGGATTCACTGAGTGAATACAGATGAAGACTTCTTGTAAGACTTTTGGAAAGAAAAGATATTTCTCAAACATATTGTGAAAAACTAAGGTGTGCTAATTAGATGACATTAACAGTATCTTTTTCAGGAATAAAAGCACTTAATTTGTTTAAATCCGAAGACTGAGTGAATACTTTTAGCACTTGCCAATTTTCCTTGCTGTAGAAGACTTCTAAATTTCAAAAAAGTTCAGGTATGCTTATGGAATCTGCTATGCAAGATATTTGCTGACTTGATGATTACTGAGCTCACCTGAAGCTTTCTGTGGGTAAAATGACCTTTTGTTAAATACCTATGCTTCTATAAAACATCGGGTTGTTTTGTTAGGCTAGTTTTGAAACACTTTTTTTCTCCCACTTTTTTTAATCTTCATAATGACATAGAAGAAAGATTGAAAGGGGTGATGCTGATTAAAATACACAGAATAATGAATACTTCCTCCTCAAGACATGAGTATAACAAACTAGAATTTAACAAAATAAGAATCCCTGGAACACAACTGAGAACTCGCATTTTCAAGAAAAAGGAGACTTTTATAAGGCTTCCTTCAAGTTTTAAAAGATATGATCTAGGTTGACTGGTTTTTCCATGAAATTGTTAAGGTGTTGTAAGCAATTATAGTTACCTCAGTTACTTCTAAGAAAGTCTTTTTAAAGGTAGCAGCTAATATTATTGCACTGCAATGTCTCCTGTTTTAACAGTCATCAGCAACTGCAGTTTTTTTAAAGCACAAATTAGTTTAACTTATTTTTTTTGCTAAGTACTCATTATGTCAGCTCTCAAGTACATACAAAACTCAAATCTAAATAATTCTGATGATGCAGTGGCCAAAACCTGAAAAACTAGTCTGCCTTAAAATGCAAATGGAAAGATTACCAACGGACAAAAGCAAATAGATATCTTCCTTTTTTTCCTCTCAATTTCTAAGGGCTATTAGTATTCACTGTATATATCTGTTCTTGTTCTGTGCTGATATTTAATGTGGCCACAAATTATATTCACTCATTCTCTCGCTTAGGCAAAGTCCAGTTCAATTTTCTGAACTATGTCTTCATATTAGAAGGGCATAATAGCAATTTATTCTAATACAAGAAATATAATAAAATACTTTCTACAAGGGACAGAGGAGTTTTGCAATCTTACATCAAGAGAAATAATGATAAATTGATAATTGATTAAGCACACTAAATGGGTAATTTGTAGGCAGTTATAACTTAGCAGCAACAATGAAACCATGCATTTCAATATACACTGGAAAAGCTACGACAATATACAAATACCGGGTATGTTTTAAGAGGCTAGTATCTGTAAGTAAAAAAAAAATAAAATCTAGTTCTTCTGCAAAACGAGTATGTGAAGGGGAGCTACTGATTTGATTCACTGCTACACCTCCTGTAACGTGCAGCATACACACAAGGAATCTTTCAGCACTCAACCATAAGGCAAATATTTACTACTATACTTGCTCTATACCAACACGTACATTTTTAATTAAAGAAGAAAATGTGGCATTTATTGTGGGGGAAGCTGTAGCTCCGTTCGAGACATTCTACATCTATTTTTTAATTACTTATGTGGGGACTTTTTCTTAATATACCCCATGCTGTCTGTCTTTATATCGATTGTTACTCAGCCAGTAAAAAGGAACGAGCACAACAAACCAGTTTTCTATCTGAATAAGGATACTTTTGATGGCCTTTTCATTTCCATCAGTTAACAGAACTTCTTTGACATCTGCAGAAATAGCAACCTGAAAAAAAGAGCACAGCAAACAATGAGCAAATATGCTTGTCTGTGTGGAAGTGAAGACAGGAGTGACAAGCCTTCAGTATCATGCTTCCTCACCTATTTCTCTGTAACAATCTTCAATCTTTTTTCATTTTATGTCTGCATTATTTTAATCATTCAATCAAATCAGTCAATACTTTTATCATTCCATTTGCGGGAGCCTCTATCTTGCTATCATTCTGTTCCGTAATTGCATTGTGACAGCGGATGATGGTATTCTGAGAGGCTTTCATTTGCGGGCTTCTGTTTATCTAGTAGAGCCATCATACAAGGCTGTCACTCTGCCTTTCAGCTTGCTTCTGTCTGACTGCCTGATGCCCTTCATATAACTTTGCATTGCAGGCAGATGGCTTTGTAAGGGTAATTTTTTTGTGAGCTTTGACATGCTCGCACATTGGGCTGTAACCTCGACACATTGTATAAGAGCGACAGGTTTGTCAAATGCCAATCAGTGTAACAATATGCTTTTATTTGTAGAGACATAAAAACTTGTCTAATGCACTGCACTGCTACATAATATCTCCTGAATACATGACTCAGAACCCAGAGAATGGTGAACGACTCTCCTGAATGGCCAATCTAATTCAAAAGAATCTAATTACCGAGAGCTCTGGATCATGTTTGTTGGTGTAATAATGCAGGCAAAACATTAGCAGCTATATCATGGTGCTCCAACTGTGATTCGCCAGGCTATTCCTGTATCTTAGCAAATGGGACTATAATCTGAAAAAAAAAAAATGCTTTGGCTATGGCAATGAAAGACAGACCGTACGTGGCCTGGAATATCACAACAAGAGATATTGACTGCACGGAGGTAAAATGTTTCTGCTCATCGAGGCAACCATAAAATCAATATGATACGAAAGCAAGTCAATCTAGAAGGTCTCTCAAGACTCTGCAGCTTGACCGCAGCTGAGGCTGTTGACAGTTCTCTGACCCAGCAGTTGGAGGCACTGGAACATTTTTCCTTTTGTTTCTTCCTCTGAATGGGATTGGAATTGAGAAAAGACCTACCATGAGCCCAGCCAAGCATGTCATGCCACCCCCTAGCTCACACACAGCAAGGTCCCTGAAAGAGAGAAAGGAAATGGTAGAACCCATACAAATTAGATGAAAATGGTCAGAGAGACATATATGTTACAAGAACAAATTGCCATCTGCAGTAAGAACTGAGCTACCAGGAAGTTGTAGAGACATGACTAGGCTACCTCATGTCGTTTTGCGTTTTAAAAATAATTATGAAATAGAAAAGTCACAAAGCAGGCAAATCAGTGGGGGTTCCCTCATTAGTGTTCAGTGCAACATTACCACCGCTGAGCTGAAAAATCTGAGAAGGTTCCCTTTTTTCCCTTGTCAATGGCTCTGTCTTTTAGAACTAAACTAGCTAGAGTAGCGAAAGATAATTGTTAGGAAAGGATAACAATGTTAATCCACATTCATTCTTGCAAAAACAGTTAGAGAAGTAAATGGGGAAATTAATATTATTTATATATCTCTCCATATAGTTATGCCTAAAAGCCTTTTTATATTAAAAAAAGAGAGAAGTTTTAAAACAAGCTATATACCACAGAACAATTACACATGAAGAAATCCGATCCTTCAATTAGCACTTAAAGCTGCAAGTGACCTACAAACAATGCTGTTATGAACAACGATGGGAGCAGCAAACAGTTAAGCCACAGAAAACTAAACGAAGTTAGTGTCAAGAGCCTAAACTGAGCCCGAGCAGAGGGTTGAATACACGGTCTAAAAGGCTGCTTTTAACTTAGACCATACTGCGCTGTTATTAAGACGTGCATGTGAAATATAATTTGGCACAGAGAGCGTGCCGGATGGGAGCTTGCAGGGGGAGCCATAAAGAATGTCCTCCAGAGCCATGGCCTGCCCTAGGAGGGGAGGAGGGAGGGATGCTGACCCCGCGCCAAAACTGCGTGAAGCGGCGTCTAGGGCAAGGCAGAGCCTCAGTTTAGGAACATGCTGCTTTATAGCTAAATCTGCGGCAACTGTTACAGCTGGCAGAAACGTTCCCATTGAGACATTTTTGACAGGCAGAAAATGGAATTTCAGCTAAACAGATTTTGTTTTGGTGCACCTTTTCTTCTCCCCTTTCTTCTCCCCTAAAATACCAACATTTGAAAATCTATTTTTATGTGAAAGTACTACGTCCCTACTCGCTCGACACTGATATTTAGGAAGAGCATCTAGGATGCCCTATCAGTATACAGATGCTGGTATTTTGTTCACTGGGGCCAGTGGACTAGGCTGAGTGACAGTATACTAATGCTCGCTGTCTGGATGGGATAGATTTTTTTTTTCTTAGACTCCACAAATTTTATTTGAAAAAAGTCTAGCTGTCCTATTTAATGGAAATGAGACAAAAGATGGACATAGTTCGGAGGAACAAGCTGCACATAAACCCAATGAGAATATATAACAGATGTGGGAAATTTGCAGTTTGTGGTTTAAATAGAATGATTATAGGTTTTTCCTCACATAAGTTTTTATTTTTCTAAACCATATATGTCATATATATTAGAAGTATATACATGTGGTTATATATATATATATATAAAATTTACAAGGCACTTAATCCTTTGTAAGAGTCATGCTTATCGAAATAAACACAGCAAAGTATCTAGTGTGGGGTTTTTAGTGCATTTTGAACCAAATTTGCATGTATATGAGCATATACATACACACATATACACAGACATATTTATGCATATAAATAATATATTTCAGTGCAAAGTTCCCTTACTAGCAAATTTTAAAAATCATATCCGTCTCTCAGGCAGTATTTAGTGACATTTATCAATGAGAATTAAAATGAGAAACTCTACTCTGAGCGTACTGTTGAGAGGGCATAATCCTGAGAAATCAGGATGTGAAACTGCCCATTTCCTCCGTGGAAGTTTGACTGATCGCTGTCTCCGAGCATCCAGGCTTGCACACCCAAACTAGGAAAATACCCTGTCAGTGAGCAGCGCAGGGAGGTTCGCTGTGAAGAGCCTCTGAGAACAAGCAGAGCGTACGAGCCACGGCATGGGGCTGGACGGCAAAGTGCTACAGGGACACCACTACAGCAGCAGAAGTCACACAATGCAGCGCCCGGCTAAACTCGGAGGAAGGAGCAGCAACTACCAGATTAGGTGTGTTCGCTGCCTCCTCTAATGGGGTGGGCTTCGATCAGGTGGCGGATGGAGCAGAAATGAGGCTTTACAAACCAGAGCATGCTTTGGTGCCAGGTCTTTGATTTCAGATAGGAGTCTGAGCAAGCTGCAGGAACCAGCTCACAGCTGATACGCTTTCAGCTTTGGTACAAGGGGCAGGGACTTACAGCTCGGTCTTGCCTATTTTACCAACACCATATGTACACAGACTGAGGGATTCCGTATACTCCAAGCTGGTTTACTTGGTATTAGCCTTGCACCCTCACTTAGAACACAATTTAGACCTCCAAATGCATTGTTATAATGGCTTTTCTTGCACCCCATTCATCCTCTGGACAATGAAACGTCAAGGATTTCCAAGTGTAAAGCTCTGTATACTCGAGGGGAAAGAGAGAGGACGCAGGATGGATTTTATTTTAGGTGTTCCTATTGAAGCCTTGATAATTGTCTTCTACAAGTTTGGAAAATGTGAAAAAACAAAATCAAATAAAATTGCAGGATGTCTCAAAATTGTTTCACAACACTTAAATACAGGTGCAAATTCCTCCATAGCTATATGCAGTGATTATTATGTATTTTATCAAGTAATATTTTGCTTGCTTTTGCAACAGATGTCAGTTTAAAGAATGTCTTTTGTTTCTCCTGACCTTCACAATCAGTACTGATCGATTGGAGCTTCACTTTTGTTTCCCAAAAATCAAAGTGAAATAAAACGCCTTGAGTGGCAATCAAAAGTCTTTGACATATAGCAGAAAGCTTGCTGTGCAATATTAGTACCCAAAGGCAGCTCAGAATTCTTTGTTAAGAGCAACATGCTTTCACCTTGAACATTTTAAATTTAATCTGAAGACTTAAATCATAGCAATCTTTACCATGCAGATACAATAAAACTAACAGATTGGAAAATATCTTTTTATGTTTAACTCTGTACCTGAATATTTCATTGTGCTTTAGGCAGTAGTAAGCCAGCACTTCTTCAGATGGCCAGAGACCTATAAAACAAAGATATTTGCCTTCTTAAAACAGATATTTTTTTTTGTCTAAAATAATATTTGAATACATATTACCATCTGCAGACCTCTACCAACTGTTTCATTTTCTAAATTTGCCATAATACCATGGAATAAAGAAAAAAACAAGACTTTTAATGGAAGACTTCTGATTAAGCATTGGAACAGAATATTTCTTAGATTTCATCCCGAGTAATGATGAGAAATTACTTTGTAGATACATGCACACACACATAAACATACACATATATCTATACACATACATACAATTGTGGAGACTTTAAAAGTTATATAAAATTTAATTCTATGAAACTTCTGACATTTGGGCACTCACATGAACATCAAACTGTTTGTACCAGGCCAGATGAGAGGCCCACCTTGCCTTGTAGCCTGTTTCTAGCAGTGGACAGGAGCCCCCTCCTTTTTCATCAGCTGTCCTTTACAGTCATTTCGTTTCTTCCCAGTTTCTTTTTATTTAGCTCCTTTTCTCTTAGGTTTTGTTAGGTCAGGCATCAGCCTGACTGTGATGCTGACCAGTAACACGTGATAAGGACAAATACAGGACTAGGGCAATAACGCAGCATGATTTCTAGTTGTGCCTCAAGAAGTTCCTGAGGAGAAGAGGAGGTACAAGTGATAAGTTCTGTTTAATGGTCTCCGAAGGATTTTTCTAGTTGTTTTGTGGACTGCGGTAAACTTTCCATAGCTGCATCGTCCCGTGGCAGGAAGCACTGCAGTTTTACCGTGCTGTGTAAAGAAACATCTCTCTCTTGTTTCATACTTGCCTCCCTGTCATTTTCATCTGAGGTCCTCTAGTTCTCGTATGGGAATAGACAGGAGCAATCACGCTTTTTTCACCTAATCTGTATTATTCGTGACTTTACAAGCTTCATCATAAAACTTACACTGATCATTGCCAACTTTGGCAAGTACTTGGAGGCATCCATGCAAATTCACCCCTTCAACACCATTCACTCATGAAACTCGCTGTTTCGTCAGACTAGTTTCCCACCTCACTTGAACATCTAACTGAAGCGCCGTGGCCCACGGAGAGAGCAGCACAGATCCTGCATGGCTTGCACGCTCTCCTGCAGGCACCAGTCTCCATTGCTGGAGGGAGCCTGGGGAAAACAGACTCATATTCAGGCACGTGAGTTAGGTTCCCAAAGTTCAGGGAGGATGAATCAAAGGCATATGCGGCCAAATTACGGTTATATGTGTTTTCCATCTGCTGTTGCTTAGCGATGAAAAAACAGGCTTACACGTCTATCCACAGGTGAAAACCAGGGTTAGTCCCCCCACCCCAACACACAGCATTATGAACGAACGTGACAGAAACTTAATAGTATGAACTACAGACACTTCAATGGTTTCAGTAAACTTAAAAACTGACACGTGGGAGCATCCTTTAGATATTTCTAGACAGGTAAACTGAATTCCATGCAGCTTACTATGTATGTGCATCCTTTAGATCATTTTTAATGATTTTTTATTCTCAAGACTTTAAAAACATCACAACATATTTAATAGAAGCAGAAGTTTGGGAGAAAAACTGTCTCCCTTTTAAATGACTTAGAGCCTGATTGTAACCATTAAGTATATAATTCTTCCTTTCATCCAGTAAGCATTCTGAACTACCCTTACTCATAGTGGTAAATAATGAAAATTTATTAATATGTTGTCTGCCTGCAGACCAAGCAAAAGCCTAGACGGGATTTGGCCAAAACTTTGCATATAACTTTTGTATGACAAAGATCTTAAAGGTAAAAAAGATAGAGTGACGATTCATACGTACGACAAAAACACTAAAGCAATATTGGTATTTGTCCTGTTTATGACAGTTTAGGCTGATTAGGTGTTTGCAAATGTGCTATTTTGCTTAGACTTGCTAAGGGTTAAAATAAAATATTCACACACGACTACCCATTCTTCAGTGAAACATACACTAAGAATTGTACAGGATTTTCCATCTCCCTTTTGAGCATTTCAATGCTTTTGAGCATTGAAATATGCTAAAATGACAGATTTTGCAATAAATATAATAACTGTTTAAATATTTTAGTGTATAATATAAAGAATGTTTCAGTTTGTGGTGACTGGTGTATACTCAAGCAATAAAAGTGCTTTTTTAATATTTAGTGAAGACACGGCTAATTTAATACCATTTATAATACTTATATCTCACATTACAAAAAAAACCCCACACCCACAAACACAAAAAACCTAAACCCTTTTATAGCAAACTTTTAGCCTGAGCGAGTTTCAAAAATACTTGTCAGTTGTAGCAAAATCCTTCAACATCTGAGTTTTCAGTACCCTCAGTCAAACGTCTCTCACTTTTCTACGGTTATTATTGAAAGGGCACTTTGAATGGTGTCACTAAAGCTCTTACGAGGGGTCACCGTTCTTTCCCCTGCTACCATTACGATGTTGATACCGTCTGAAACCGCAGGTGTATCAGATAGCTCTGTGCTGAGAGAAGGGTAAAGCACCTTTGGAAAGACAACGCTCTTCTTCAGGCAGATGCTACCGATGCACACGACTCTCCTCCCCGCTCCCTTCCCCCACAGGGAAGGAAGTATCACCTCAGCAATGATGTAAGTGGCAGGCAGCTAAAGAAGCAGGAGTCAGGAGGTCTTTCGCAAACACGGGTCTCAAGTGTGGAAGCACACGGTGCTTCCAGCTAAGCCAAGAAGCCAGAATACCTGCGTTAATTTTAGTAAAAGGAAAAGCTTCTCGTGCTTGAACAGGCAGGTAAGCCTCTTCACCTTCAAAACAGGGATAAGCTTAAAGATCCACGTGGAGGAGTTTGCATTCTGTCTTCTTCCCCTTCACTCTGACCTACATTCACCAACACAATGACCTACATTTTGAAGTTGCAAGTATAAGATAGTTCTGCTTCTGTTAGAAAACATACAGCTGTAATGCAGAAATGCAGCAATTCCTATGAGTTAACAACTACCACTAGGTCACGAAAAGCATAATTTATTTCCTGCAAACACATACATATGGATATGGATTAAGTTTCCTGTGAATACACTTAAAATAATTCTTTCATATTTAAAATAAAATTATTCTCATTTTGTATTATGAATTTGATTGTAAATACATAACGTTGGATGGGTACCTATTTGCATGTGCAATTACTTACACACGATAGTCAATTATTTACACATCTATAGGCAAAAGAATACCAAAAGGCCCCCAAATGGTGCTTGTATTTAAAAGGCTATAAATATACTATAAGCCCTAGGCAGAGGGGCTAAAAATCTCACTGTACAAGGAAACAGAGAGAAACAAGAGTTTCTTTTTGCAAAAATAAATATTTTGCGACATTTGCTGGAGGTTTAAAAACTCTCTATCACCTTGAAAACTACGACGTGAAAACAGAGAATAGTTGCCGGAAAACATCGGCATCTCTATTGAAAGAAATAAAAAAATTAAGTTGTGTTGGTATTTAAAGGAGAGCCTCAAGAAGGACTGTGATTTGGCATGTCTCAAGACATGGGGGAGAGAGAGTGCTCACAAAGCAACGCCTGCCTGCATTTCAACTCTTGGCAAGTATCCTTTCACCATTAGGATGGAGTAGGAGATCCACTACAAGTATGTGCCATAAGAGCGATGATGTCTACGTCCAGACAGGTTCATGATACTTTCTACAGCAGTAGTGGTAGAAAAACATTATCACTAAATAGTATAATGATGGATGGAGAAATGCTATCTATGCAGAGACATACAAAATGCAGGCATTTCTACGGCACGGATCACCATGTCATGTAATCTCACCACAGTAATGGAGTCTACCTCACAAGAACTTGATGACATCATGAATTTCTATTGTCCCAATTTTGCACATTAGGAGCCAAACTAGGAGACAGAGGCAGATTAAGTTACTTAAACACACAGAATGAAATTAGGGGAAGGCCAAGAAAAAAACCCTGAGTCATCCTAACAACTTGAGGTATGATATAACCAAACAAGACACTCAAACTTTTCCTACAGAGGAACAACACTAACAAAAATCACAATAATGCTAAGAATGCATAAATTAAGTTGGTTTTATTACTCTCATAGTGCTTGCTAATGGAAAGTGTCAGGTCCTTCTGCACTAGCCATGGTGCAACAAGTTCAACCTTCAAACCACGTGGACTAAACCATGTGTAGACAGCCTTCTGAGGATGTTTTGTTTTAACCATCAGGTGGAGCACCGCTGGCCAAAGCAACACAAAACCTGTGTTTCTTCTGCGCCGAATCTAAAAATGCTGAATCCTGTATGATATTACAAAAATTTTTCTTCTAGAAATAAATTATCCAGTATTTAAAAAAAAAAAAAAATTGTTTCTCCTCAGTAGCTTTTTACCACATATTTTAAAGAATGCTGTCACACATTTGGATAACAAATATTGAGATCTGATGTGAAGTTCTTAAAGAACAGCATGTTATTAGAAAATTCTCAGGATAGAGTGCTGAGAATTTTGAGACATGTCTTTTTAAAGAAGACATTTGACTATTGGAGCCATCATGTCTCCACACTGCTCCACAGGTACAAAGACGTTGCAGTAGCTAGTGATTGCTTTAACTGGGATAATGCAAGATTAGTGGAACTCTGCTCTACTATCTGCCAACGCTACACACAGGAAACAAAGGGGAAACTGGAGGTGACAGGTGAACTGTCCCTTGAAGCTCAGAGTAGGAGGTATAAAGCTGTCCTACAACTGCTTCACTCATGCTAGGAGATTAAGAAGTTCCTTTCCAAGCTAAGCCAAATGGAAAGTTTTGTCACTTTTCCCTAGCACTTCACATGGCCACATGTACAGATGTCTGATCTCAAAATTCAGCTTTTGTCGTTTATTTGCACTATTAAGCTATAAGAAGTCTTCCTATTCAGTTGAAGTTTCAAGTAAATTTTGCACAAATCCTATCTTACCCCTCAAAAGCAAAGACAATTTAAATTTGAAAAGTCAGTCATTTTCCCCAGATGA